GTGCTTTTAACTGCTGAGCCACCTCTCCAGCCCCCTTTTTAATGCTTTTCTTTTGTCCTACAATGTACACAATTCATACTTTACAAAAATGAAGCTGAATTATTTATGTTGTAGCTTTGCTGCGCTTCATGCTTTAAAATTATAGGAGGTCAGGACTGGAGAGATGGCTCAGTACTTATGAGTTGTTACTGCTTTTGTGGAGGACCCAGGTTCAGTTCCCAGAACCCACATCAGGTAGCTCACAACTGCCTGTTACTCCAGTTCTAGGGGATCCCCTCTGGCCTCCATGGGCACCTACACTCACAATGGTACACATAAACTCATTCAGGTACGCATACACATAAAGTAATACAAACTTTAAAAAAAAATGTAGGAAGGGCTGGAGAGATGAACCAGTGGTTAAGAACACTGGCTATTCTTGCAAAAGACCCGGGTTTGAATCCCAGCACCCACATGGCAGCTAACAACTGTCCGTAAGTGCAGTTGCAGGGGATCCAACAGTCTTTTCTGTCCTCTGTGGACACTGCACCACATGGGTGCACTTACTTACATGCAGGCAATGCAGCATATACATAAAATAAAAATAAAAATTAAAATATTTTTAAAAATTGTAGGAAGTCTTATCAGTAGGGCTTGTTGCTATTAAGAGAGGCTACATGGGGCTGGAGAGATGGCTCAGTGGTTAAGAGCACTGACTGCTCTTTCAGAGGACCTGGGTTCAACTCCCAGCACCTATATGGCAGCTACAAACTGTCCTTAACTCCAGTACCAGCGGAATCTGAAGCCCTCTTCTGACTTCTGCGGTATTTCACGACATGGGTGCACTTACATACATGCAGGCAATACACTCATACACATAAAATAAAAATTAAAAAAAAGAAAGGCTATGTGATAGTGTGCATATGGAATCCTAGTACTCTGGAGAATGAGGCAGAATTGTAAGCCCAAAGCCTACGTGAGCAGCATAGGGAGATCCTTTCTCAAAAACAAACAGCTGAGTGTGGTGGTGTATATCTTTAAACCCAACACCTAGGAGGCAGAAGCAGGCAGATCTCTGAGTTTGAAGCCAGCCTGGTCTATGTAGTGAGTTCTAAACCAGATAGGACTACACAGTGAGACCCTGTCAAAAAAAAAACATAAACAAAAATCCTAACAACCCCCACCATCATACACAAAAACTGGTTAACCAAACCCAAAACAACCAAAACGCAAACCAACAACCATTATTTGTGTACTATATGTCCTGTTAATGAATAGTGCTACATTCATTGAAATTTTTTCTCAGGTTTGTTTGACAGTGTAGATTTTTGAAGTAATGAAAGTTGTGATGATGAAAACAATAGTATTTGCTGTGTGTAACATGGTACTGACAGTAACATGGGCAGTGAAAGAATTTACCAGAGGCAGAAAGAAGTTTATGAGAGATATTGCAGCACAGCCATAGGGGGGAATATAGTAGGGAGAAACTCTCAATAAATGGATTCCCCTTTATGGGAAGCTTCTATGCAGGCAGTTCAGCAGCATTTCAGTGTCACGGTGTCCTGGTTATTTAGTCTTATCTGGAGGGACATACCTTACGTAGGGCTCATATCTGGATGACTAGGGAGATATCGCATTGTTTTGCTGAGGAATAAGTTTTATAGTGAAGATGTTTCTTCTTGAGACTGGCTGTCTGCATAAAGCAGGCTGAGTGCCTAGGGGTCAGCATCCTATTCGTTATTAAAGCATGGACTTCTCCACAGTGGTGTCAACTGCCCAAAGACAGTTGGCACCTTGGCTTGTTAAGGTTAACTCTTTGTGTGTGTGTGTGTGTGTGTGTGTGTGTGTGTGTGTGTAAGTGCACATGGAGCCAGCAGACAATCTTGGGTATACTTCCTTAGGCGTCATCCACCTTATTTTTTGAGACAGAATCTGTTATTGTCCTGGAGCTCACCACGTAGGCCAGTGAGCCTCAGGAATCTGCCTCCCACCCCCCCACACATTGTCACCCCTCCAGTGCTGAAATTACAAATGTGTACCACCATGCCAAGCTTTTGTTTCAACCTATATTCTGGTGATCTAACTCAGGTCCTCATGCTGATGCTGCAAGAACGTTAGGGACTGAGCTAGCTCTCCAGACTCCGGCTTGTTAAGGTTAACACTTCCTGTCTGCCTTGGAGGTTAACTACGGCCTTGCTCTCATCCCAGTCTGCTCTGAAGCAAAGGCAACCTTAATTCTGAGGCTACTTCTGATGGCTTAGCAGAGCCATCCATTTCAGAACAGCATCCACAGTATTGACAGGTGAGTTGTCCTTGAATTTTTTGTATTTATGTATTCCATTCTTTTTTTTGTTAAATTCTGTTTTTATTTTATGTGTATGAGTGTATTGCCTGAATATATGTAAGTGAGCCCAATGTCATTCAGTGCCCATGGAGGCCAGAAGAGGGTGTTGGATCCCCTGGAACTGGAGTTATGGACTGTTATTACTCACCATGTGGGTGTTGGGAACCAAACTTGGATCTTCTGCAAGAATAGTCAGTGTTCTTAACCACTGAGCTCTATCTTCAATCCCTCCATTATTTGTGAGAATTTTGGCATTGATACATCAATCTGTTAGATTATAAGCTTTGTTTGACAAGAGGTGTCAGCCATAAGTAAGGCAGAAACCTGCAGGGGCAGATCCGTGTTAATCTACTTTCAAAGTATTGTTTCCTTTGTTCTCAGCTAAACCTTATGATGCAAGCTAACTATGATTAGAGGTACTTCTGTCCACTTTAATCTTTTACATGTGTTGCTCCACAACTTCAAGTTAAGCACACTTAAAAATGTCTCTACTTGGGACTGGAGAGATGGCTCAGCGGTTAAGAACACTGGTGTTCTTGCAGAAGACCTGGGTCAGAATCCCAACACCCACATGGCAGTTAACAACTGTCTCTAACTCCAGTCCCAGGGGATCTGACAGCCTCTTCTGACCTCTGAGGGCATTGCATGACACGGGTGCACTTACCTACATGCAGGCAATACACGCATACACATAAAATTTTTTAAAAAGTTAAAAAAAGTCTCTGATTTTAAAATTGTTACCTTAAATTCAGTATGCTCAGAAGTGTAGGTGTTAACCCAGCATGCTTAAGAATGCGTCTACTGGGGCTAAAGAGATGGCTCAGCGGTTAAGAGTACTGGCTACTCTTGCTGAAGACCTGGGTTCAGTCCCCAGCACCCACACAGCCCTAATAATGGCCTGTAATTCCAGTTTCAGTGGATGTGATGCCCTCTTCTGGCCTCTGTAGGCATTGCATGCATGTGGTACATTTACATACATGCAGGCAAAACACTCGTACATATAAAAAATATAAAAATAAATATTTTTAAAAAGGAAACGTGCCTACCTCCATATAAATATGTATAGACTCTAAAGAAAATCCTCATGCTTCCTTTGTTCAGGGAGAACATTGCTTCAGAATTAATTCTCATGCTCTCCTTGTCTGATGCATGTAATAAATCTCCATTCTATTCAAATTTTAACTCTAAATGAGACTTATTTTTAAAATACCTTTTCTGGGTCTTGCTATGGTGGTGCACACCTTTAATCCCAGCACTCAAGAGGCAGATGCAGGTGGATCTCTGTGAATTCAAGGCCAATCTGGTCTACATAGCAAGTTCCAGATCAGCTAGGACTACATAGTGAGGCCCTGTATCAAAACAATATGAAAAAAAACTATCTTTTGAATTTTTTTGACCTCCACCCAGTGCAGGAGGCATAACTGCAAACTGCCACAGGCTGCTTCTGCCCAGAGATTCAAGTCAAAGGGAACCAGTACCATGCTGGCCTTCCAAAGCAGCCTTTATAGTGGGACATGTGCTGAAAGGGTGCCTGAAGCTGCCTGAAGACAAAAAAAAAGTCTCTTTCTCACCTGTATATGAGGTACTTTGCCATATTCACTCCCCCTTTGTACTCTCCTATGCCGCCCCCTCCCAGTTCCCTTCTTCTCAAATATTCTCTGCTTTCATGTCCACAGAATGGGAGAAGGCTGAGCAAGCACACGATCCAAGATCTCGAAGTTCGAAGTTCGTTTGTTTTTTGTTTTCTTTCTTTTTTCTATGTTTAGGTAGGGGGAGTTCATTCCCAGGAGCAGAAATGGGGTGAATCCTTACCCTGAGTGACATATGGTCTGTTACATAACTTTGGGAGATCTGCACAAGCCTGGGGTGTTTATTTTAAGCATATATATGCTGGTCATGTATATACACGAAATGTTAGAGGTTTTCCTCGACATGTCGTTTCAAGGACACATTTATCCTCACTGTCCATTAGCCCAATACTAGTTTAAGTAGGCCTTGTTTAGCTCTCCTACCAGGACATGCTTGGGGACTGGAGGTGCTAGGTGTTGCCCTACTGGGAAGGAGCAGACACATTTTTCCAATGGGAGGAGGTGCCTCATCTCTGGCTGTCCTTATGCTTGCCTACTTTGATGGTAGTCTTGAACTCTCGATTCTGCCTCTGCATCCAGAGTGCTGGGCTACAGGCAAGCAATACCAGGACAGGCTTGGAATGTGATTTTTCTGGCTGAAAAAGTTCAACTTTATCAAGCGTGAGCAATCTTTGGTATGCCTTATCAGAAATTCCTGACCCCTGGAGTATCAGGCTGTAGATCCTGTTTCAATTTGACCTGGGAGACTTCCCCGCTTGGAGGCGAGGTGATTGCTCCCTTGGACATTGAGTATGTAGTGGACGGTGCACAGTCCTGGAGGAAGAGCAGAAGTGCCTACTGAGTGCAAGAAGACAGCAGTGCTAGCTTTGGGAGGCAGGAGTTCTGTTTAACTGTTAAACTTCCAGGAGCTGGGCCAGGTCTGCACCAGCGGCAGAAGGGGGTTGAAAGAGAAAGTGGTTTTCAGGGTCCCTTTAGCTCCACTCGCTGCCTAGCAGAGCTGCTCCTGTCTTTCAGGCCTCATTAGCCAATCAGCGCATCTTAGCAGGCCGACCAATCAGGCGCATCGGGGGAGGCGGGCTCTTTCTGGCCGCCATGTTGCGGGTTCTTCTCCGCGACCCGGGGGAGGTTTTGCTTGTTCCGCGTTGTGGGCGCGGGCGGTGGGGAACTGAGGAGAGCGCGGGCGAACCCGGAAGCGCCATGGTGAGCGTGGGACCCGCAGTGCCCGGACGGGAGCAGCGGTCGTTGAAGCCGCCAAAGCGGGCTGTGCTACGTCCTCCCCGGGCGGGGTCGGGGCGGGAGCGTGGCGGGGGCTGGGGGCTGGCTTCCCGGACGCTGCGGCCGGCGGGTTCTGCTGCGGGGCAGCGGTGGGAGGCTCCGCCCTGTGCGGAGAAGCTTCAGTTATGTCGTCGTCCGTTGGTGCTTTTGACCTGGTTCTCTAAATCACATTCCACAAGTTGAGAAATCTAGGTTTTCTGTTACCTTTAAGTTCTGAACTGCGCATATTACTTTTCTATTTAGGAGCCACTTTTTTTTTCCTTTTTCTTTTTCTTTGGTCTTTGAGATAGGGTCTCCCTGTAACCCCTTCTGGCCAGAATTCGCTATGTAGACCAGGCTGGCCTTGAACTCACAGAGATCCACCTGCCTCTGCCTCCCAATTCCTGGGACTAAAGGTTAGGATCCAATTTTAAAGGTTTACTTTTTATACTTTGACAGCCTTTTGGGAGAGCTTTTTTTTTCCTACAGTTTTATTTTAACTAAGGACTTTATTTATTTATTGGGGAGGAGGACGTGTGCCGCAGTGTACATGTGGCGGGTTAGAAGACAACGTGTGTGAATGGGTTTTCACCTTCAGCCAAGTGGGTTCCAGTGTTCGAACTCAGGTCATCAATCTTGGACAGGCATCTTTACCAGCTGAGCCATCTGGCAGGCCTCTACGTTATTTTATTTCTTGAGGCTGCCTCGTAGTATGTACTACAAAGGATGCTAAGAGACAAGTATCTGGAGTGGAGAGAAACATCATGTTGATCCATTCTCTGAGTCCTTAAGATCTGATGGTGGAGCTATTCCTGGCCTACACAGATGTCTCTGGGTGAGACTGAGCATAGTAGTTACAGGAGAATCTGAAATCCTGGTTTGAATCCCCTACTCTTCTGCAGTTACCCTTTTCCTGGCTTGTGTATTAACTAGTTCCCTAGGGTGTCGTCGTCGTCCTGTCCCCCCCAACTAGAAAAAAATAATCAGAATGCTGTTTTCTACTACAAGCATCATTGTGGTTATTTTTTGAATTTTAGTGGAATGAGGTCATTCTTAACTCTTAGAAAAATAAGGTGGTAGGCTGGAGAGATGGCTCAGTGGTTAAAAGCAGTAGCTGCTCTTGCAGAGAACCTGGGTTCAGTTCCCAACACCCACATGACATTTAACAACTGTCCATAACTCCAGTTCTGGGGTATAAATGGGTGGGGTTTTTTATGCTTTGCAGCTATTGGCCAAGGGAGCATCGCTTTGCTTGGGGAATTTTTTTTTTTAAAGTATTGGAGATGGGACTGTCTACAGTAAACAAACAGGGAGGAGTTGAGAGCAGTTAGGGTTTGGTGAAGCTGAAAACTAAGTAAATTAGTAGTAAAATGTGGAGCCAAGTTAACTAGAAGGTGGCAGGTGCTAAGACCTTGTAAGTGACACTTGGCCTTTGAAGTGCCATTACACTTGCTGTGCTGCATCTGAGTGCCTTTCTCTTTATCCCTGGCAGGCTTCTGGGAAGATAGGAAGAAGATAGGCATATGTGACTTAATGCCAGTGTTCCAGGGAAAGCCCTGTGTGTGGTGGTGTTGAGGAATCCAGCAGCTTTGGGGCTCCTGAGCAACCATGTTGGTGGTGCCATTCTGGCTTGTCTTTGTCTTCCTTTGGGTGTGGAACCTGTCTGTCATTGTGCTTGGCCTTCCTGCTAGCAGTGGCTCCACGTTAGGGGGGCCCACTTAACTCCAGGCATGATTCATGATTCACTGGTTTGGTCCGTGCATCTCCTTGCTCCTGAGCTGGTCACTGGATCCTCAAGTGCCTCCCTGGTTTATCCATTTCTTGTATAGCACATTAAGATGCAGGTGTTAAAAGGCAGGTAAATGACAGATGTCTAATGGGAGATAAATATTATGTTTTAGGAAGGTGAAACATTCCATTCCAAAGGGCAGCTCCTTTAGCTCAGGAAGTAAACAGCTCTCAGCTTCAGGAAGTCCCTGAAATTGACCAGATTTACCCCCACCTCATACACCCTCCCACCCCCCAGGATGTATAATCCCTGAGGACTGCTGAGAGATTCTCACAGATCAACTTCAGATCAAGTGAGGTGCCTGGAAGAGGCTAAGACTAGCTGAGCTACCTGGAAAAGACACTGCAGCCTCTTGAGCTGCGTGCAGGTCGAGCAGTGGTCTCCAGGTTTCCTGCTTCCATCAGCTGTCACCCATGTTGGCATGGGCTTTCTGTGAGTCATTTCTGCTCCTGTAAGTAACCTCAATAAAACACATTGGTTCACCAAGTTGGGCTTTGGTGGTATCCTTACCTTGCTCTGTTGTTGGTTTTGTAGACGTTTGTTGAGCTTGCCCAGGAAGAGTGCCACACAACACATGGTGGAGACAGCTGTAGGACAGCGGTGATAACTGTGCAGTAGGCAAGTTGAGCTGGCTCTCCTAGGCCACTGCCAGGTCCAGGCACTCTGGGCTTTGTCTTACATAAGCCACCAGAAGGAAAGACTGCAGGGAAAGAAGTAATGGATGTGCCCCTGGATATGACCTTCCTGTGGATGCTTGCCTATTTACTTAGGCCCAGCAGGATCTACACACCTTCACTGTCATTGCTGGGTCACTGGGAATCTATGTGGCCCTCTCAGTTAATGTGGGTCCTCCTGGGCAACTGCCACTCAGGGTTTTTTTTCAATTTTTATTTATTTTGTGTGTGTGCGTGTGTGCGCGCTGTGAGTGCAGATGTGCGCATGCCATGGGCCCAGTCTCCTAGTTTTCTTTTGTATATTTTATTATTTTCATTTTATGTGTAGGAGTGTATTGTCTGCATGTATGTAATGCACCCTTGTCATGCAATGCCCATGGAGGTCTAATAGTGCCTAATAGTAGCCTCTGCCAATGTGTGTACTTTGTCCATGTATAGTGACCCTGCTACGAGTCAATAGGCAAAAAACAGGAATTGAATTTTTTTTGTTTTGGTCCTTTTGAGACAGGGTCTCCCTGTAGCCCCAGCTGGCCTGGAACTCACAATGTAGATCAGGTTGGCCTTGAACTCACAGAGATCCACCTGCCTCTGCCTCCCAAGTGCTGGGATAAAGGTGTGTGCCACCATGCCCAGCTGGAATTGAATTTTTTTTTTTAAAGTATTTACTATTTTTATTTAACGTGTATGAGTGTATTGCCTGCATGTGTGTAAGTGCACCTGTGTTGTGAAATGCCTTTGGAGGTCTGGAACTGGAGTTCTGGATAATTGTTAGCTGCTATGTGAGTGCTGGGTATCAAACCTGGGTCCTCTGCAAGAGCAGCCAGTACTCCAAACCGCTGAACCATCTCTCTAGCCCCAGGAATTGAATTTTTAAGCGGTTTTATTCAGAGCCAGCAATCTGAGAAGACAGTGGGTTAGCGTCCTAAAGGTATCTTCCGTTTCATTTTTAGCCAGTAGATATGTAGGGAGTGGAAACAAAGGCAGGTAATCATTTCAAAGTTGGTTGTCCCCCTCTGGCCACATACTCAGTCTGGCCTCAGCTTTATGCTGTTCATCCTTTTCTCCTTATCTCTTTGTTCACAATCATCTAGGCCACTGAATCTTTTAAAAAAGATGCTTTTTATTCTTTGAGAGTTTTGGGCATGCATATATCAAATGTATTTTGAACATATTCAGCCCATAATCCTCTCCCTGATTCCTCCTGGGTTCACCTCCATCCCCCAACTTCATGTCCTTTTTTAAAGAAAGAAAGAAACCCATTGCATCCAGTTTGTGCTGTCCACAGTTTGTCCTGCATGGTTAACGTACAGGGGGTTACACTCCTAAAAAAACCTGACTCTCCCTCCCCTGGCCACCAAAGCTTGCATTCCTCCTGAGCCTGCCATATGGATGATGGCTAGACTGAAAGTTAACTCAGCCAACAAACCATTAGCAATGTGTGCATGTAGATGCCTTCCTACAGAATGAAGTACAAAGTGTGTTCTTGTAGAATATGCAGTGCCCCTGTCACCACAGCACACTTGGGGACATGGCTGCTTGTGGGGAAACCATAGTGGAAAGGAAGGACAGAAAAGAAAGAGTTGCTCTCACACTAGTATGTTTTTAAGTGCCCCAGGAAAGTGAAAGAGGTTGAAAATTAGGAAGAGAGAATGTAGATAGAGAATGTGGACTTCCCAAATATTGTAGGTATCTCTGAATCCCAAGGGTACTTGGAATTTCCAGGCTCTTGCACCCCAGGGCAAAGAATTGGACCAGGGGCAGGTAATTAGAAACAAAAATAGACACATTTATTAATCTGGAAACAAGAGTAGACGAGTGAGTGGAGAAAAAATGTGGTGGAAAAGCACTTGGCCATGAGTGGCTTGGCCCTTTGTAGATCATTTACGTACTACACAGCTCTCCCATATTTTAATATTGTGTGCTGTTCTTGAGCGTGCTTTGTTTTATGTAGCCCAGGTAGAGAAGGGTTTCTAGTCTTCTCTGCCAAATGGCTTTTTTCTTATGTTAATGTGATATATCTTTCTCCAGCCTCTACTCTCTTTCTGTACCCTTTCAGTTAGCCTACTTCCTGTATACCTGAACATCTCTCAAAATCAGTTGCAACTGGGGGATGAGCAACAAACGGTATCTCAAATGAGGGTCCTGCGGCCCTCCTTCTCTGTTTTTACTGGAGTGTGTCAATAACTCCATTACCATTATTACCACAGACCTAGCTACTGTATTTTGATTAGTTAGTTGCCATGGCTACCAGCCCAGGGTATTCTGTATTCCAAAATAGTAACCATGAGGTAAAAACCATGCTATAGCACCCTGCCTCAGCCTCTTGAGTGCTGGGATTACAGGTATGAGCTATCATGCCTGACTCTTTATTTTCTCTCCCTTTCCCTTCATCCCTCCGTCCCTCCCTCCCTCCGTCCCTCCCTCCCTCTGTCCCTCCCTATCCTTCCTATCCTTCCTTGGCACTGGATCCCCTGGATCTGGAGTTATGGATGGTTGTTAACCACCATGTATGTGCTCTTACTGCTGAGCCATCTCTCTAGCCCTGATTATTGATAATTTTAAAGATCCAAATTTTGAATTGTTGGTTTTCTCTGGTGGTTTCTTGTTTTCAGTTTCATTCCTTAATTGTTATTTTCCTGTGCCTGATTTAGTTTTATCTCTTGTCCTGAGTGTGCTATACCAGCAATATAGAGGAACACTTTTGTATCTTTGTACAATGTAACAAGTTATTGAATAACAATTCACAAAGTTTGGTGATTTCAGTGTCAGCAGTTTTCCAGATAATCCTGCCTGCCTTGGTAATCTGGCCAAGGTGAATACAGGTTCTTTCATTCCAATCTTAATTATAAATACTAACTCATATTACATAGGACACAGTATGTAGATACAGTGTATATGTGTGTGTTATATGTTGTGTGTGTGTGTTTTATATAATTAATTGAAGTTAAAGAGGCTACAGCAGAGTTTGAGGTTTCAGAAGTGTGCTGAGAGAGGCTGGATTGATAGATAACAAACCTGGAAGGGAGCTGCTGCTTTGGCCACCTGAGTCAGGTGTTCATAGTGAAGCTGCAGGTGAAAAACAGATGGATCCAGAGCAGGAAACTGGCTTCAGGCCCATATGGGTGAGAAGGTTGACAAGCAGATGGCAGCGTGAATAGCGGGAACCAGGCTGAGCTCAAGCCCCAGGAAGAGGAGCCCTCTGCCAGGAGGTCCTTGATGCATACACCAGGTATCAAGAGATAGGTTAGTGTGGGGTTGTTCCATTGCAGTGTTAGGCGCCCATTACTTTATGGGGCCCAGGTGAGGGGGTTATACCCTTCCCTCAGGCTGGTGTGTCAGAAGTTCTTGGACCTGGTTTCTTTCCATATGCCTGTGTCTCCTTACAGACTTAATTCATCCTGATGAACTTACAGGGCAGCACTCTTTCCACTCCCAGTAATAAATCATTTATCAGTTGATGCTGCATGGGTGGTGCTGGACAGATGGTGTTTGTGGCTGCACCTTGGCGTGAAATCATTTTCTACTTTCAAGATGGAGTAAAAAGCTGCTTATAAAATGAAAAAGCACAGCCTGAAAACCCAGTTTTATATAATTTAAAGTAACTTAGAGCAGGGCATAGGCTGATCTCCAGCTTCCTAACTTGGAAGGTTAAATGGTTTTCCATATCTGTAGCTTTTTAGTATATCATGTGTTATTTTAATTGCCTTTCAAGCACTCCTTATACTTCATGCCATAACTTTTCATCAGAGATACTTTCATTTGTTTTTGAAATATCTTTGAAAAATATTTTATTTTTGTCTGTGTTTATGTGTGTGTCTCACCTGAGAGTACTGGTGCCCTTGGTGTCCAGAAGAGGACCTCAGATCACCTGGAGCTGGAGTTACAGGTAGTTGTGAGCCACTGGATCTGGGTGTTGGGAACTGAACTTAGGTCATCTGGAAGAGCAGTAAGCGCTCTTAACCACCAAGCCATCTCTCCAGTCCCTCTCTTGAGATCTCTTTATAACCCATATGTTCTTAGATCTTTGTGATTTAATCTAATTATTTCTAGGCTTTCCCAGTGTTTCTGGTTTTCATTTCTGTTTTAATTTCAGTATGTTCTCAGAGTACACTTTTGTAAGTATACTAATCTTTTATATTTATCACTTAGAAGGTGGCCTATTTTGGTGAATATTTTGTTATCTTGGGAAGAGTGTATTTTGCTATTGTTGGTTGAAGTAAAAATATAAATTCAGTTTAATGATGAAGATTTTCAGTTATACTACATTGATATTGATTGTTGTGCCTACTTCATTTGTCAGTGATATAGGCATGTCAGTGTTTCTATAATTAGTTCTTTTCCTTTCCTCCTGCTGTCCCTCTTTTGAAGGAAGATTTTGTAGTGTAGTTCCAGTAGTTGGCCTGGGACTCACTGTGTATCCTATGCTGGCTTTAAACTCATGGCAGTTCTTCTGTGTCTTGAGGAATTACATTTGTGAGCTACGCGAGGCCAATCTGTTCATTTGTTTTGAGACAAAGTCTCCTGGGTCCTGTCTGGCCTTGAACTTGCTGTAAAGCCAGGAATAATCTTTAACTCCTGATTCCCCTGCCCCCACCTCCCAGGTGCTGGGAATACCGGAGTGTGCCAGCACACCTGGCCTTGTTTTTCTCAAACAATAATTATTGTTTTTTTTCCCCCCTTTTGTGTGCATTAACTCTTCCTGGAAGACATGAACAAACTTCACCCAAGAAGGGGCACCCGTGGCAGACCAGAGTCACAATTCCATTAAAGCTCAACC